ACCATAAACTAGGATGTATTCAAATCATTAGTCGGTTCCTAGGAAGATACCGTTTGTCGACAACATCGACGAAGAATACGATCGGCTCGTTGAATATTGTCAAGTTAGCGCTGTGAAAGCCGAGAGTCCTAAAGTCACAAAGAGACGCTTGTCTCCGCAGACACTCGAGCTGATACGTCAACGTGGAATCGCACGAGCTACAGGGAACCAAACCTTACGTCCGATCTTGCGAAGCGCTGCAGAGAAGCGATAAGGGAAGACCTCAAAGAGAGACGAGTAGCAGTTATGGCTGAAGCTGCTAGAAGCTGGAAGAGCATTCGCAAAGTCCAGCGAGGCTTTGCCAATTATAAGACCAAGATGATTGCACTCCGATGCCCTGACGGTACACTTACAGCTTCCAGAAGGGCTATGGAGAAAATCATCCACCAGCACTACTGGATCTCCTTGCTAGCCATGTCCTCTTACCGTCATATAAATGAAAGAGGATGAATATGTCGTTCCACCGGTCATCCCTTCCGAAATCCGACATGCTATATCGTCGGTGAAGAACAGAACAACACCTCGTCCAGACAGGGTTAGACCAGGACACCTGAAGAAGCTACCGCCAGTTCTCATCAACACCCTGGCTCGGTTCTTCACTCTCTACCTGTCAGAATGCAAGGTCTCCATTCAATGGAAAACCAGCAAGACCGTATTGTTGTTCAAAAAGGGAGACCTTCACGACATAGGCAATTATCGCCCAATCTGCTTGCTGTCAGTTGTCTATAAACTCTTTACTCGAGTCATCCTAAACAGGATTGACAGAACACTGGACGAAGGACAGCCATGCGAACAAGCAGGGCTCCGAAAAGGATTTAGTACCATAGACCACATCCACACGATTACAAGACTCATAGAAGTTTCACGAGAGTACAAACAACCACTCTGTCTCACTTTCGTCGATCTGAAGAAAGCCTTTGATTCACTGGAAACAGAAGCGGTTATAGAGGCTCTGGATAACCAGGGCGTCCCTACTCGGTACATAATGATCCTTCGTGAGCTATATAAAGATTTCACGACCAAAATATCTCCATTCTACAACAATATCACCATTGACGTAAGAAGAGGGGTTCGCCAAGCCGATACAATTTCGCCAAAACTATTCACTGCCACCCTACAAAACGTCATGGGAACATTAGAATGAGACGATATGGGAGTGAAAATTGACGGTCGACAATTAAACCATCTTCGCTTTGCTGACGATATCGTTCTCATAACACCAAACATCAGCCAAGCGGAACGAATGTTGACCGATTTCGATAACGCCTGTGGAAAGATTGGTCTTCAACTAATCTAACGAAAACGATGTTCATGAGGAACGGATGGGTTTCGAATGCCCCATTCACGCTCAACGGAACGACAATCTCCGAATGCTCCAGTTACGTCTATCTAGGTCGTGAAATCAACATGATGAACGACCTAGCTCCAGAGTTGAGCAGGAGGAAACGAGCGGCTATGGAACGTTTAAGAGCATCGAGAATGTAGTAAAAGGACAAAGAACATCCGACTCCGTGCCCACCTTTTGACTAGACGATTATCTCTGCCATAACGTATGCAGCAGAAACCTGGTCGCTACGTAAGCAGAATGAAAGATCACTTGGCGTTATTGAACGCGCAGTCGAAAGGTCGATGCTAGAAGTATCCCGTATCTCGCAAATGAGAGAAAGGATTCGAAGTTCCGACCTACGTCAACGATCGAAGATCAGAGACGCCGTTCTACACGCCAAGATATCGAAAATAAGGTGGGCCGGACACGTGATGAGCTTCAACAACAACCGATGGACGAGAGTCGTTACCGACTGGATTACTCGGGACATCAAGCGATCTAACAGGAAGACCACCGACCCGTTGGCCCGATTTCTTACAAGGTATAGAAGAAAAATATGATGCTCAGTGAATCCCTAGAGCGAGGAGAACCCACTGGGCTACTCTTGCACGCGATAGGGGAATATGGAAGTGTTGCTGGTACCCGCTCGAGTCACTCGATGATCAACGGGACGACAGGTGATACAGGTGAAACTCACACAGTCGTAAAATGAACTTTGTTCATTTTTATTTGGGTATTTTAAAAGGTTTAGTTACTCTTAACACTTTCCTATTATAACAATCTCTATAACAAAAGCTTTGCGCGTGGTTTTTCCGTCGAAGTTGACATATTTGTATTAGCTCCATAAGAACGTCCGAATGGTTTTTATGATGTCCACAATTTCAACTCAGCGGTTATCCCTGCTCAACTATGCAGCAGAATCCTAGTGGCTAAGTAAGCAGGATGAAAAATCACTTAACATTACTGCGTAATCGAGAGGTCATTGCAGGAGTATCCCAAATCTCGCAAATAAGAGAAAGGATCCGAAGTTCAGATCACGTCAATGATTCGAAGATTAGAGATTTTGTCCTACACGCTGGGCTATCGAATATAAGGTGGGCCGGACACGTAATGCACTCTAACAACAACTGCTGGACGAGAGGCGTTACCTACTGGATTCCTCGGAATGTCAAGCGCTTTACAAGAAAGCCACCGACCCGATGGTACTATTTATTTACGACAAGCCTAGAGTAAAGACACGACTCTCAACGAATTCCCAGAGCCAGGAGGACCCACTGGGCACTTTTGCACTCGATGCGGAAAAATCGAGGCATTGCTGATGCTTGCTTGGGACGCTCGACGATCAGCGGAGCAGCACGTGATACGGGTAATACTGTTTATGTCCTACGAGCGAACGGAGTCTATCAACACTCTAAAGGCGGATAAGTTCTAAATTACTTGTAGAATGTTCCAAGTAACAAAGTCGTATTCTAGCGCACATGCTTAGATGAAGATGTTCTCAAAAATGGTTGAAAGTTGCCCCAATTTGTTTTTTCGTTCTCCTAAACGGCCAGCTATCGTTCGAAGGGGTAGACCGAGGTTGTGATGCACTTCAATAGCGCATCAGCACTTGGGAACTAGGCCAAAATCTCAAAATCACTGTCTCAGACCTCCTTTTAGTCAGACTTCATGCACTAATCTTGTAGAGTATGTGCTAGACTACGTAAACGAGCTTGATAGTTCGGCCTGTATTTCAATCAAAATCGGTTTATACTCCACTTTAAAGAAGAAACTTCACTAGTCGATATTAACCAAAGTGATGAAACTCAGCTTTCAAAGTCCATATCTTAATTTGACAATAGATAAGGGGCGTAAGTAAATTATCACACGCTTTCTTCGCCATGCCATGCTAATCGGTGTTAATAGTAGATTAACAACATGAATGATTGACCTTCTCAAGCTGTTTGTTCATAAGACAAGTCGATTGACGTGGAAGCTGAATGAAAATAGACCAATAATCCAGAAGGATGATTTTCATCACATGATAGCAAGCTTTATGGCTTCTCTTGCAGAGGTATTTCGCTAATGATAAAGCATACCGCTTTGGTAGTGACGACCAAAGTGCCGTCGTTATTCAAAGGCTTGCGCTTCCGTGGCCGAAGCTGTCAGTGATACTTTTGTAATAACAGTGTATACACAAAAGTTTTTGCACATACATCATTGCGAACGAACCTTACGCTTCTTCTTATTCCATTTAATCGGACGTGTTGGCATTGCCGCCTTTACAAATTGTTCTGCTGGGCTAGGTGAGCTTTTCATTCCGGAATCGATAAAGATGTGATCCTCCGTCAGTAGATTGCGAATCAGGCAGTGAAGATCTCACTCAAAAATACTTTCTAAGCAGAACTCAATTACAAACGGGATACCCGGTCACTACTCGAGAGGCGACGTGTTGTTTCGTTGATGTTACTGGCTTTGTCACCGACGTTCTCCTTGTCATTGCTACAAACAAAACGATAGAGTGGAGCGGAAATGCACAGACTACCTAACTAAGGCCCATTCCCAGTGGAAAAGGCTCGTTTATAGATGATGTGCAATGCGCAGTATACGAGATAGTAGAAATGATTATTGGCCTTGAAAGGGTAGAAAGGTGTGCTCAGTATTTCTTATGAGGAGATGTAAAATTGCATCGCAATATTTGATTCCAGAGGTACAAAATAAAGCAAAACTCACTATTTGATTGTGTATTTATTTGCAGTAGTGTGTAGGACGAAGAATGTGCGTGGCGCAAGCGGTTAAAGGTGCGCTGCGTCGCTACACGAGTCAATGGTTCGATCTCGTGCTCAAGGCTCACTAGGCCATCCATCCCTTTAGCGTCGATAAATTGGTACTAAACTGTCCCCAGACTCGCCTAGAAGGATAAGCAGCACTGATAAGCAGGTGGGATGCCACCGCGAGTCATTATAAAGGCCGGATTTGCATTAAATCACCTTGAGCGAAGTTGAAAATTGAAGACAAATGCAGGGCGCATCCTTCAAGGATTGATCAGCGCCGAGAGCTTTATCCTTTATCCTTTATAGGAGGAAATGAATCATAAATATGAGTGAATTTGGATAGCATAAATAGAAGGTATAAAATTGGAAAATAAAAGCTCGAATGTCCTTTTCGTAGGCATATGGTTTATCATTTGAAAATTTCTAGAAAAAAGGCGTAAAAAGTTGCGGTGATAAATAATGATCATGGTAGAGTTTAAGTAGATAATATGAAAAGTTATTACATATAAGACAGAGAGAACAAAGTCTCCTCCACAGCTTCATAACAGTTCCAAATTTCACAGTCCAATAAATGTGAAAAGGCTCTCCGAATGAACTGGCATAGTATCACAGCGCACATTCTTATTTTTGACCCGCAATTCCTTGATTTATTATTGTCTTGAACTCCTTCAAGAGAAATTTGCGAATGACAAAGCCCTCTTTGATGGTGATAAAAACCTAAATCTCACTAAATACTATCTTATTGTCATTAGAGCACGCCGCTCTCGCCGCGTGGTTCTGCCACCAGCCACGCAAAAATTCAACAACGTTCTCGGATTGACGAGAATTTTTGGTGGCTGTGAATCAAATATGAGTCGAATCAGAATACCCAACTCTATTCAGCATCGGTGACGCAACGGTCAGCATACGCTCCCGAAGAGAGTGAGTTCTGGGTTCGATTCCCGGCTGACGCAAATGTTTTTGCACAGCACTCCACTGTATTGGGTATATTGTAACATCATACCACCGCAAGGAGCGGTCAGATAAAAAGAATTTTATTCAGACTCATTTGAAACCAATGAGTTATCCCAGCTCTGCAAAGTTCCTAAAGCTCAAACATGTTACCGGTATTTGAAACAGCAACTTTTTCGCATGATAGCGAAATTTTTTGGTATTTGAGGTAGCGTGAAGTTGGTTCTCATCTAGACTAGGTCACTGAACTTCTTGCCATTTCAACGGCGATGCACTCAGTCTAAACTAGTGGCAAGATCACGTCACACTGCTCCACAGCAGTAGTTATCAGTCAAGTTAGTCGTTTTTGTTTGCACTTAGTAATCACAAGGGAGAGCGATTGGGAAAGTAAAATCGGTAGTTTTATTCTGACAAGCTGTTCCGAGGTGGTAGCAATAGTGTTTACTGAGCGTAGCGATGCAGTACAGTACACAGTACTGTAGCGAGTACAACAGTACAGTAACACAATTTATCATAACACAGTGGCCATCGTTTCGGGCGTCTCACCTTGTTCAGAATGTGGAAAGATCAAATCACCTTGCAGTCTACCCATTCAGAAACCGGTAGATTGGAGTGTTTTCTCAAGAGCGCAAAAATTTTAGTATAGCTAATAATTATTATTTGGGCATGGTCTTAAGAAAACACTCGAAACGAATGGTTTAATATTCATAAATGCTAGCCAAGAGCAATCGAGCGCACTACACTGCCGACCTAGTGATTTATTTCGCATAACGGCACGTGTAAATCGTACGTCGTCGCCTACTCTATGTAGAGGGATGGAGGACCCCTAAGAGGGTTGGCTAAAGGACAAGAGCTAGCCCGACTGACAAGGCTGCCAAGGCTAAAATACGTGTATCGGATTTAACAAGTGCCTATAACAGATCCATGACATGTTGGCGCGAATAATAATTTGCAGATATATCAATCGAAGGGCTCCATAATCTTGACGGAAAATCTAAGAAACAAATATTTTGCATCGCAAAGTAAAAAGCTTCTTCTCAAACTCTCACCGTTAAGATGCTCCAGATCAATACTAAATGAGGACCAGCCCTTTAGAGTCAGTGCGCAGGTGAGACTGCCTGCACAAGTAGGGAAGATCGACCTGAAGCATGGTGCAAGGTCAAGCGTTATTACGAGACGCTCCTCTTTGTGATCCATTTTTGGGCCAATACTATGTATCCAAAAGACATCCAAAGTTTTACTCGCATGTTTTTGACTCCTGTGCGAGAACTGTGAAATTCACATCGAACTTCGCTGTTTTTGTTTCCCGTGCGTGACTAGTGGAGCTTTTTCGTCAAAGTTCCGTAATCGAGCTAGATGTTCTTGTAAACAGATGTAGAGTGGTCTATCCGTTCCACCAACGTTTTCATCCCCGCATGCCTCCCAAAAGATTATGTAATAGTACCAGATCTCATGCAGTCGTCTTCTCTACCGTTTGGCAAACTTTGCAGTCTTTCGTTCCACAGAGGCGGTCTCACAGTTGATTGCGGACTAATTGGAGATTTAGAATATTCGAGGGTATCTCAATTATTGCTACCAAATTATCCAAACCTGCTCTATTTAGACAGCGTTCAATAGCTGCACTTACTTTGTTATAATTAAAAGTACAGGATGAAGGGAACCTTGTTGTCGTCAGACTTTCCCTTTAGAGCGTCAAATTTATTTTAAATCTAACTCGAGGAGCACCTACCGTATCGTAGCCAGTACAGATGGCTGTTTTTCGCTCCAAGCTAAGGAACTCGGCCCCCATGTTTTCCTCTGCACACATCAACAGCTTTTCGAAACTTATTTTTTCACGAGTGCGCATATGTGTGTGGAGGATGCGAAAGCAGGTGTTAAACCAAAATCCTTTTGTTGCCTGGTTTGCAGTACCATTGTGTTGCAAAAGTTTTCGTATAAGCTAAAATGAACGTTCAAAAATGGAAACCAATTTGCATTCGGTTTCTCATGGGTAAATTTCATGTGCTCCGACTAGCAAATCAAATTATGTGTCCATCTCCTCTTGCTTTGAGCAGACGACAAAACAGTGATCTTTATAGCCACAGTAGAGCTACGGCAGGAGATCGATTATTGGGGCCTCCACTTCAGACATAAAGGCTATAGCAAGGGTTGTAGCTAGTCGCTGTATAATTGCTAGCCTTCTGATCTGCTCAAAATCATTCCCGGATCATCTGAATAAATAAGCAGCCTAGGCACTTCTTTAGGAGAGCCATGATCTCCCGAGCGGAGAAAGAGCCATATCTTTTGTGGTTTTTCGTGCTTCATTAGAAGAAGAAAAGCAAAAATCACTATTTATCCACATTTCGTGAGCATTTTGTGGAATGGCAATGCTCTAAAAACATTCTTGAAACCTATTAGTGAGCAGATATCATAGAAACAACATGTAGACAATATCCTAAAGATTACTGAGTCGACACAAAGTTGCTACAGAAATTAGGTATTTGACCGTCGATGTTTCATTGGCTGGCACATGATGTTCCGATGTCTTTTTTACAGTATTAACTACTTTGTCGAGATTTAGTGAAAATCAGTGTTTAAATAATTGGTATACTTTTTTGCTTCTGCAATGGATGTATGTTGTTCTGTCTTCTCTAAGTAGTAATTTTGACTTTTTTAGATATATGTAAATTGTTAATCACGAGCTCTCTCAATAACTGACTTTTGTCGGCTATGCAGGAGGATAAGCAATATTATGATATGATACCACTTAAGCTCGGCTATCTTTGATCCTTTTGATGAATTTTAGTATGGTGATTCGGAAGCTGTACAATGAACGTAGTTTATGTGGTATAATGCTTTAACAATCTGTCGACCCCAGTGCGGTAAAAAAATGTTCCCGGGTGGTCTTCATCAGCGTATCGTTGAAAGTGAAGCTCAGCTACCGTTAGCTAAATTTATATCTATCGTCACTACAAATTAATCAACACCAAACTCTATGAGTTTTTCTTAAAAGTCTGACGTAACTCAATGCATGGAATCTACGGAAACAAAGCGCGGATCCTTTGAGAGCCATTTTGAACTTACTCTTAGTTCCACATTATGATGCACACATAACCATTCATCTGAGTGATCACCCTCAGATGGAAAATGATCTTTACATTTTCCCTTCGTTATTCCAATTTACTAATAGTATTTCAAATCATACACACATGACAGCGGAACTCATGTGAATCGTAGTAAAGGCTGTCTTAAGCGTTTCAATACTGCACTAATTATACGAGTGCTTTCAGTGATTTATTACGTTTCGTTTAGGAAAAATCTACTTAACGTTGCAATTCAATTATTGCTCAAGAAGTTGGTGAGGATGATATCAGAATGGCAAAATTACCTAGTCATGTGATCAGAAGTCGTTTTAGATAAGAGAAGTGTATATAAGGAATCGCATGACTGATGAAAAAGTAATTCAGTCAGTATGCTTTCCTTTTTCAATTCTCCCTTTATCATGTTCCTCGTCAGTTCTGCTCTAATCCAACAGGTATGCGTGGATAAGCAAACTGCATAGTTATGCTTTTTCACAATCAAAAAAACTGTCATGATGGATTACTCAGCTGAACTCATGGTTCCTATAATGAAATGGAAGCAATGGATTGCGTGTGGAAGAGCTTCACATTTTTCCTATAAGTATTATTCAATGTTTTACTCTGAAAGGCTATCGAGGTAGCTCAAGAAATTTATATTGGAAATACAACTGTTGCACATCACTACTAATCGTGTTCCATTTACATTTCGTCATAGTTCTGTGATTAGATGGATATGAAAAATATGATTTTTTTATACCACGGCCAGTTGTATGAAAGGGATCAGCGGAATCGGCTTCGATCCTTGGAGAAATATGTAGATCCTGGAGGCCGAGAGATCTTACTTCTGTCGCGACAAGACGTTTGGAAAGCATCTATATTGGTTCGAGACTCTCTGCCAATGTAATGATCTGCTGAATCCGCTTGGAAATGTACTATAGTCAATCTATCATCTTTATTTGTGGATTCACACGTTTATGAGAGCTGGGAAAAGCATAAATGTGTTTTAAATGCTTCCCTTTATGTTCACTTTCCATAAGTTCTAACGTTCAGACCCTTGAAACGTCTAAAGGTGAATGCGATGAGTGCAACAAATTTTTCAGTGGAGTGGAATAGATTGTTTAATAGCACAGATGTGGAAAATGGCATTAGTATGAAAAAGATAGTTGTCAGGGTAAGGTGTTTTTTTTACAGGAATTCTGATACTTTCATAAAGTCATCGAACGCGCTCAGTTAAAACTTAAATATTTGTAGAACTTCCTCACCTGAATCTTAAAACTTTTAGGTGGGATGTATATACGCGACAGCTTTGTACGTGGAACCACTGTGTGAAACGGCTGTAGATTATCTTCGGAGAAAGATCAAGGGATGGTGCAGAAGTAGTGAATTTCAATCCCTTAATGCTCGCAAACGCTGTCAGCTACTCGGAATGTGCCCAAGTGCTGCAGTAATGCCCAGGTGCTGCAGTAATCTTTCCATGACCAAATTCTTTTTCATCACGTCAATGAAACGTTGTTGAAATACTCACTCTCACACTTTTTCAAGTTTAGTGATTTATAACAAACTGATACAGTACTAAACGACAATGTCACTTCTTCAATTAAAATCTGCATCATGGGAAGCAAACACCATTCACGTCAAGACTGAAGAGGAATCTCTTCAACAGAATGAGCAAGATGGAGTGGCAGCAATGCAGTCTTCAAGAATGGAGTGGATGAAGATCCATTGACTTCAATGCCTTTACTTTACTGAGGCTTCTTTTACAGCACTTCTGTATTGATTTGACAGATTATCAAGTGCAGATCACTGTTGCACTAATAGGAATTGAAAAGATACCCCATGTATAAAGCGATTTACATAGAACGAAACAATTTCCTTTATCGTGCACTGCTCTCAATGGTAAATAGCGAGTAACTCTTCGAGGACAAACATATTACAATCTTCGA